TCTAAGCATCAACTCACTTCAGTGTGAGGGGGGAGCACCTCTTCCCCCTTTTTGGCTTATGATCAGTCCAGTCCTCAAAGGCCAGGTTGTTTTTTTTTTTTTATCTTGAGTGCAGGACCTCTATTTTCTATACAGGTCTTCAATTGAAGAAATAGTCATTTCAAGAACAGCTTGTTTTCTCCAGTTCGAGCAGCACAGCAATGGCACAGCACCTGTCTTCTTCTTACTGTGATCTTGGGTCTCCAATTTTTTTCTTACATCTCCTCACCCTCCTCCTCTGTCCTACCCCCCGTGCAGGGGATGAGACTAAAACCTAAAAACTAAATGGTGGCCACAAACGATCTTGTTTTGAATTCTTCTAAAGTATGAGACCATACATCATCACAGAGATGTAACTAGCATGTGCAATTGGCCCAGGCCTGACCAGCAGCCTGTCCATCAACCTCAGAGCCATAATGGAATTAGTTCTAAAACACATGAGGCAGGGCTCCTTTTGCTGGAGAAGAAGGAGAACGCTTCTAGAAATTTCTCACAAGAGCCATCTTTGTGGTTTCTTGCTCCCATCCCCCCCACCACCAAAAACCGCACCGAGTAAAACCAGGACAATCACAGCTTCCATTCTTTCCATCTTGAAAAAGCAGGCTTTTCCAGGAGGAGGGTGGGAAAGAAACTGAGACATGAGTTGTGTAAGAAGAAATCCAAATATTCTATTGAGCCATTGACCCACACCTTTAGCACAGAAATCTCTCCTGTATATGGGGTCAAGAGCAGTAACTTTCTTCATTTGAAGCACGGGAAATAAGCCAACACATTTGTGGGAAATCCTGTCCTYAGGCAGCTAGAGATGAATTTTCAGTCTGGTTAAGGAAAACCGTTACTGCAAAGCAGCAGAACTTTTTTTTTTTTTCATTGTTCCAGCTTTATGGGAGAGAAAGGAGKGGGATAGCAGCATGGACACCACTCAAAGCTAATTTCTTCCAGGAGTCCATGTCAGCTGCCAGTTTCCCACTGACTTTCAGTGGAAATAGCAATTTCAGTTTCTAAAAAAAGCCCCCACCCACAGCAAGCCAGAGGACCTAATTCAGACCACCACCGCAACAGCTCTTACACTTCGTGGCTCTCTGAGAGCACCAGCTCAGGTAAGGGGACATGACAACTCTCCATTCAAGGGAAGTTCAAAGAGGACACAGGACATTCCATGAGCAGAATTGACTCTGAATATGTTTTCAGGAAAAATAACAATAATACAGCATGTGTGACAAGGTGGCTCAGTGTGACTACAGCACATTTGGTGTCTATAGAAACCTACAGCCACGAATTATGAAATTCTATAGATATGCACACACAGCATCTCCCATCTGCATTGACCCTCTTTCTGATACATAAGATGTGAGTTGTCAAGAGTACATGGAAATGTTTAAGAGGATACATTTCCATTCCTGGGAAAGGAAGAGAGAAATGAGAGACAGATCAGAGACACATGATTTTCTACAAAAGAATATGAACAGAACACTGGGGAAAAGAGAAAGGAGAAATCAAAGCAACTTTGTGTAYTTCATAATCAAGGAAAGTCCTTCTACTTGCACTTGTGCAGACAAGTTGATCAATTTACGGGAGGAGAACAAGATCAAAGTGTGAATCCTTTAAAAATTCATTTGCATCTGACACACCTCAGGTACAACTGGAGAAGAGGCACCTTCTCTTAATATGCAATCTGAAATATATAATCCTGATCTGGAGTCTTTCTGAGCCAACCCCAAGCTCCCAGAACCAAGGAACATTTCAGAGGCAATAGACTGGACATTGCTTCAGGTTAATGCTGTGCTTTGTTAGATTYATGGCTCTCTTTTGCAAATATATTTCACAATTTTGAGATGTCTATCCTCCCCCAAGGTAGCAAATTCATACAAATCAATGTTTCGGTATTTTGTAACCCAAACCACTCTGGTTTTCTTCCATCAAACTCCAGAAAATGGACAAGTCTCCTTTGGCTCTTCTGGCAAGAGGCAGATAAGTACAGAGGCAAGGGGCAAGGCAGGAGTTCAGGGGCATGTACTGAAATTTTATGGAGTCAGGAAAACTTYGTCAGCCTCCCAGGAAATACTTTCAATGCACAGACACAGGTCATAGAGCTCATGGTTTCTGCAGGGCTTCTCAAACACCTCAAACACAGACTTCATGCAACTTTMAGACCTCATATGAAGTCTAATGGCCCTGATCTGATTAATCCCAGGAAATGTAATGAAATACAGGTTCCACAGCYACCTACCACCAGATTCTTTGGCTGCAGACATCCCCAAAATTCACATCAGTGCCTGCTGTGATTAGGGTTTCAGTGCRGTGGACACAGCTCTGGAATTAAACCAGTTTGACAGAAAAAAAAGAGTATTTTCTCTTGTAGTTTTCCCTTACCAAAGGCCGAATTCCATGGTGCTGTGGCTGGGCCCTACAGCCAGCACAGATTCTGCCACTCTCAGAGAATGGCACATAGGGAAGTCAGCAGGATTTTGGGATGCACGCTTTGCTCACAGATCACCTTTGGAAAGCAGAGGAGCAAGAGGCAGATGACCAGACTTTTGGAGAGATTTGCAGGAGGAAGAGCAGATACAGGCCATTCAGGGACACACCAGTAGGTCTTTAGCAGGACACTGAGTGAACAGGTGTCAAGAGATGACACTATAAGCCCAACCACTATTAGTCACCCAGCCCATGTCATTTAAGTAGCTCTGTGCTCTGTTCTCACTTTCCAGGTAGGAATGGCTCAGTGCTGTGATTGCTACAGCAGCTCCTGAATTCTCAAAAGTCACCTCCACCACCCTGAGTGACAGAGGAGCAGCAGCACATCTGTCACACAGTAYTAACCCACCATCACAAGACTTCTCCCCTTCTCCATGCCCACTTTTTTCCAGGAATAAAACTCAGAATTTCTCAAGCAAAGGTCAGACTCCATTTGGAGTCCACACAGGGTACTTTGCTGCACATCCCTTGGTGACAGATGGCTGGAGCTGAACAAGGCACAAAGGAACTCCAGCGAACAGGCGTTGCATTCAGCCCAGAAGTTGCCTAACACCACTGCTGACTGACCCTTTCATACCACAACACGTGTACCAAATGTGCCTGCTGAGATGCCGCAGCAAAGCCTCCGGGGGGAAGACAGGCCTCAGGTCTTTTCCCTCATTTTGGTGTTTTTCATGTGATTAAAAGCAACTCCATGCCACAGAGCAATTMTAAATYCAGACAGAAGCAYCTTGAKAGAATCACAWCTGGGAGCTAAATAGGCACATCACWGGAGYTCAGGTTCATTTCTCAATYATRGTTGAGGGCATGGAGAAAMAACAGGGAAATTCAGAAACACAAGGTCAGAGRAATAACTTTAAAATACACAGCCAAACCTATTAAAATTTTCCTTTGTCAATTTACACTTCCCTCAAGCAAACAAAGAAAATGATACTTCAGTATCTTTGATAAGGGCACAAAATTAAGAAATCAGGCTGTCTAATATTAAAACCCAGTCACACAAAATTGCAGTCCAAACATTTGTTAACCTCCACACATAGGGTGAAGTCTTCAGCCAGGAAAAGCAGTGCCTCTCTAACCTCTATAGTGCTGTTATCACACCAAAGGATCTGAAACTCTGCCCATGACCTCAAGCAGGGACTGGCCCTTCAAACAAGACCTTGCAGGTGTACACTATTGAGGTGTACACTATTGGTCACTGAAAGAAGAGAGAGCTCAGCTGAAAGAATCCATGAGCAAAGCATAGCCCCTGATGTGTAGTAATGGAGCACAGTCAGTGGTTCAGCAGCAAGTTGAGTCTGAGTGTGAACATCCTGTGCAGAGGTTGTGCCTGAATGGCCATCCCAATATGCCAAAACAAACACAAACCTCAGAGGTGGGTCGGTTTTTTTTTTTTGTTGTTTTGATTAAATAACAAACACTTCTGCATTACTCTGGCAAGAGACAGCACTGTCTGGTGACCCTCATTTTGCAGCACCATTTATCCCAGACTAATTTGTCCAAGCAAGCTAAAGTAAATTTTGACCAATATTATCCCCTTGATTAAAAATACTGTCTGAGAGTTAAAAGGCTTGTCTGATTCTCTAAATGTTATATGTTTTTGGGACTGAAACACTTAGCAATGTAACCAGGCATGTAGGAAGTGGCCTGAATTATAAGGACAAGAAATTGACAGATCTAAAGAAGCAACCAGTGACTAAAGAAGCAACCAGTGACCTTCTCAAATGAAAGTGTAATATGGTGAAAGTACAAGTTTTGATAAGATAGACATCATCCTGATGTGTTTTCCCAGAAGCAAGAACAAAGTCTTTTTTAACAAAGTGAAATGAAGAACATTACAAAACTCCCATCTTGAATATTTACTAAATTATATATAAAAAAAAACAACCCACCAGCCAATATGCCAGAAAATTGAATCCTTAGTAAAATATACCCTCAACTGCTTTTGAAGTGTTAATTATTCTGATAATAGCAGTCTGCATAGCTTATGTATACACTGGGTATAGATTAACAACAGCAAGGCATGTGTCGGTATGTGAGGGTAAGTCATTATCCAAATCCTGTGGCTTCAAATGTTTCTGTTTAAACAAAGGCACTAATATGAGGTAATCAGCACAGGCCAAATCACCTTAAGTGCTCAGTTCTTACTGCCACATTCTCACAGGCCAGAAGCAATGGCTACAGGGCAGTGTTTAAGATCATGGGGGAGGTTCCCATCTGCCTAATTACCAGCCCTTACCATTCAATATCTGCACAGGTATCTCTGTCAGCCCTAAACATCAGGAGATCCATCTCTCTTGCCTGTTTTGTGCATTACTTAGGAGAGGGAGCCCATTTATTCACCCTGTTAGACTTGTTTTGATCCATCAGCCTACATACAGATGGGGAATTTCACATCCCATGGAACACTGGCTCCATAAGTCCACTGCCTCCAAGGCAGGCAATCACCTAGGTCAGCCCATGCCCCTGCATGGAGCCCTTACCTTCTTTTGAGCCAGTGGTGACAGCAGCTGCAGTTGTCCCTGATGCCCGGCCCACGGGGCTGGAGTGCTTCCCAGCCCTGCCCGGGATTTTAAGTCCACTTGGTTTCAACATGTTTCCTGTAGCTCAGGCTCCTAYTGCCAGTGTCTCAAGAACTGTCCTGGTGTCACTGTTCAGGCTTCTCGATGGTGCACCTCTTCTTCCATTGTCACACACCTGGGAGAGAAGAGCACAAAGAAATCAGATAGAGAATGAGTGGGAGAATGTGGACAGGCTCCCAGAAAGCAGCATCCAGCTCTGTCCTCACAGCCCTAGAACAGACAGAATCTTTCATTTCTTCTCCTATAAAACAAGGGTAAATAATTTCTCTCATCTCCCATCTTCATGTTACATTTTYCCCTCAATCTCTGAGTCCTGAGAAACTTCCCAGAGCCATTAAACAAGAATTTAAATACAGTTTGGRACTTGAGTAACTAAAATGGTTTTGACTGGTTTTAAGTTTTAAAGCCTCAGTTCAGCMCCTGCCAAGCCCCCGTTGTGATGTCAGAATCCTGACTAAAGGCACCACCTTCAATGCACAGCTCTGAGTTTCATCATTCTTCATGGCAGCCTCTCCAAACCGGCAGGGGAAGGAAGGATGAGGCCAGTGTCTGAGATGGGACTTTCAGTTCCTTTCCTTAAAGACAAATCCAAAAACTTATCACAGAAAAAAAGCACATTTGACTGCATGGATTTACAAGAAAAATGGAAAAAGCCCACCCAAAACTTCCTAAAACTGAAGCATAACTCTCCCAACTATTYATTAGTGAACTCACAATCCTTCCTTATGTCATTCCCTTCCCAGCAGGCAAATGGAATAAAACCTCMAAATTCCTTGCAAGGATCTTGCATCAACAAGCACAGTTTTGTGATAAGAAAGGAAAAATAAAGGAAATTGCTAAGTTGCTTTAAAAAAMGCAAACACATTCCTAATGAATACAGAAAAATAATCAAAAAATTGAGTATATCAAGCCAAAAGGAAGCTGAAGCTGGCAGCAAGCATGCTAGGATGTGGAGGAAGAAAGGAGGCAGCAGAGCAAGCCAGGGACAATGCCAACCTAACAGCAGAGGGAATTGCAAGGACAGCAATCCAAGGACCAGCCAGAAAGAGGGGACACATAGACCTGTGTCCTGGGCCWAGGAAGGAGGCAGCACCCCTGAGAATCAGTGTAGCAAAGATTTACAGATGCTGCAAGGAGGGAATTGCAATAATGGGACAGGAAGTGATTAAGGCATGAGTAAGGACTTCAACACAGSCTGGGTCAGAGCGAGCAGAGGGCTGGCAGGGCTCCAGGAAAAGCTGCAAGGAGACACAGAGGAGGGAAAAACACAAGGAGATTTCCAAACTATTTGTATTCCCGAGGGCTCACAAATATCTGAAACACTGAAGAGCAGTAAATCATCCCACATCAGCTTAAACAGACAAAGAAAGGAGGGATCAGCAGAGACATCCTGGAGAGGGAGTCTGAGCAAAGAACTGAGGGATTAAGGGCTTTTCCCCATGTGTCCACAAAGGTGTTCAGTACCTGGGGTGGACTCTGACACCTGCAGACATTCACGTCACACAGAATTCAGAGCTGGTTACAAGAGGCAGGATGCTCCAATCACATCACCCACAGCAGAAAYAACAAGACAAGAGCAAGCAACTCTTGTTAAGGAAGAGAAAAAACAGCCTCCCTGMAACAGAGCCAGTGAGGAACAGATGCTGACAGAGCTGGACAGGAGGCTGCAGCTTCCAGTTCTGTTTAGCATAAAATAGGGAGACAAGGAACTGAATATGGAGGTGAGAAATATTGATCAGCTGGGTTCCTTTTATTTGTCAAGCTATCAGATCTGCCGCCCACTCCATCTCACATGACACATTTTGCCCAGGGCTAGTTTTGGTTTTACAGAGCAACTTGATTTCTAGCACTTCTGCTGGAAGGTGATGTGCTCGACTTAGAGATCTCAATCCATCACCTTCAGCCTGAAAGTTTGCCCTCTTCACAACACGCCCTTACTCCTGAATTTACTTATTATTTGGCCCTACATTTTGGTTACAATGTTTGATGTTGTACTCAGAGTTAAGCAATCTGGGGATGCTGGTGCTTCCACACCAGCTGGCTGAATTAACCAGGAATGTGGATGGAAAGACAAAAGGACACGGGAGGAAAAAAACAGTAGTAGAGAAGAATTGAAGCAGAAAAGGGTGCCAGAAGACTAAGAAGATTTTACAGCTTTTCAGTCTTCTCTTAGAGTCTCTGAATCCTTAACTTTGAAGCCTGAACCACATAAACTTTTGGGAACAGTTAATTTAGCGTGTTCCTCTATTTTGCTGCCCATCTTTGAGGGGACAGGAACTTCAATTCATTCTCTCTCCCCACCTTATTATTCCTGAAGGTGAGCTGCCCACTCTCATCACAGGATATTGTGATTTTCTGCTTTTTCTCAGGACAACTAGATGTTTTTACATGGGCAAGAGAAACAAGAGCAAGTGTATTCCCACCATATAAAGATTTCTCCCAGAAACACACCAACACATTTGCTTTCAACACATAAATGCTAAAAGCAAATGAACTCCACAAGCTGCTAATGATGCTCCCCTTGGAGCAGATATCTGCTTTTATCCTGAAATACAACCACCACAACCAGTTCATGGCCACATCACTAGAGTCACAGCAGATTCAAAAACTTCTCAGCTGCCACGGGAATCACAACCAATGCCTTGCCTGGCTGTGCCCATTGCATGCCAGCTTACAGGGAGGGTATGATGGGGCAAACTCATCCATCAAAAGTGTCACTGTCACAAGCTGTAGGCTGACCAGAGCCAGGGACAGCTGCCTCAGCACACCTCTGCATAGTCTTCATCACACCGGGAAAAGTGTGAATGAATTGGAGTAAATTTTACTAGAAATGCAGTTTTTTAGTAACAGACAGGTAAAAATAAATGTCTGGGACATTTTGAAAGAAATCTGTGCTTGCTGCTAGGGACAGATACTCCTTCTCTGTCCTCAGTTTCTCCCTCATTTCGACACAAATATATATGTGCAGATTTTTAGGAAGCTCTGAACATGGAGCTCTTTCAAATGAAACCACTGGGTCATCTTCTCCACCCAAAGCAATGCTGCCTGAACCATCCAAGTCCCACATTATCTCCTGACTGAGTGATGCAGCTTTTATGCTGCAGAAATATCCTTGGCCTGGGACACAGGCCAGTATCTCCACAGGGCACTGCCCTGCTCCATTAGAGATAACAACCTGCTCTTGAGCTCCCATACAGAACCCTCAGCTTCCCAACAGGCTCTATTAGCAGAGTTCTCCTGAAAAACCTGTTCCTAGCTGTTCTGAAAAATCTGCTTCCAGCAGTAGAGGCTGAACACAGGCAAATATGTGACATAAGAAGCAAGAGACATTTTTTTTCTCTGATACCGAAAACAGCTGAAATAGTCTTTAAGCTCTATCCAGCAACTTCAGGGGAACTGAACTATTCTCTATGTTATTTATCATTCCTACCCCCCACATTACCTGTACAAGCTGTAAGATTTGCCTTCCTGYAAAACTTCATGGAAATGTGACTTTCTCAAGTCACACTGTAAAGAAAACCATATCTGCTCCTCTGGATACTCCATTGCCACCAGTCCTGCTTATTTATTTCTTTTCCAAGCTATGACAGATGACAAGCATTTTCTACAACTCTGCTAGATTCTTCCTGCAATCTTTCCATTCTGGGATGAATGGTTCTGTCTGTTCCCACAACCAAGGAAAGCATCCCAGGAATGCACAATATGAAAGCCTGCTTCAAATGACCAAAATGTTCTTTTTTCCATCTTTCCATCAGAAAAGGGGACAGCCAAATGTGAGTCACATAGGCTCAGATTCAAAAAGGGGAACTGTTCTCAACTAAGTACAGATGTACAGCCAAAAAATACCTTTCGTCAGAAGCAATATATATGGATATGTCTGGCCAGCATCATGGATAATTTTATCAAAGCAGCACACATTAAAAAAAACAATTGGAAGTGCCTAGAGTCAATTATTTCATAAATGTGGTAGAGAAATAACACAAACCAAGGATTGGAAGAAAAAGTCTCTGGCAATACAGCTTAYCCACAGCTTCTCTGCTTCATTCATCCCTCTTACCCTCAAGAAGGCACACGAATACTTGCTTGCCACGTGGAATAACATCCTATTCAAGATGGGCATAAGTAACAAAGCAGACTCACAGACCCAGCACACTCCCCAGAGGAATGCCCTCATGGATATTCACAAAATAAAGATCTCTTCACCTCAACGTACTGAGTGCAACAACTGCAAGACACAGGAACAGGTTTCCAGACACCAGACTGAGTTAGCCTGGACCCCATCCTGTGCCTGGTGCATCCTTCTGGCTGGATCTGGATGTAAGAAATGTTTACCCAACATGACAGCCTGGGCAAGGCACAGGGATTTCACAATGAGAGCAGACCCATGTAGAATTGGTGCCAGCTGTACTTGAACACTGCTGTAACAGTTAGATCTAGGTTTAGGTTTCTAATTTTCTAAATTTGAAAATTCACATGTWAGAAATGAAATTTGAATTTTTTCAGTCAGAAATACACATACCTTTTCAGGGCTGGGGCCCATAGAAAATAAAGGTAAAGAACAGCATTAATTACCAGACTGAGGGAAATCAGTATTATCATATTGTCCAAAAGGTTAGTGAAAAACAACAATGCAGAGAAGCAGGACAACACTTTTTTAAAAAAGAATTTTGACTTATGCAAATAATTGCTGACTTCAAAGACAACTATTTGGATAGGAAAAGGTTAGCACAATTTTACCTATTCCCACCTAAGACAACTTTTTCAGAATCAATTCCTTGTGCCATTATTTAAACACTATTCCATCTTTCCTCATGTTCATGCTACAGATGTGGAGCACCAGGGTTTGGGATGTAGCATATTTGCAAGCAGAGTTTCAGCCTTTTTCAAGGCTGTCATGTGGCTCACTCTGCACAAAGGCTCTTGCATTGGCCTCCAAGAGATTTCTGGGTTTCATCCCCTGATCTCTGTGATTCTCTTCATCATTATTCAGTTTCATCCCCTGATTTCTGTCAGAGCATCTGGGACTCTGGACAAGAGCAAACCCACTTTAGAAAAGCCTGAGAGCCACCCTTGCCTTCCCCCTCTGAAAACACCACAACCAAGKGCAGAAATCTT